ATTATTACACAGTAGCAGACGCGTCTGTATATACGTAACTGGTAATATAGTTCACATACATTTTCACAGCACGCTTCTCACGCAACAGACTTTCCCCTAGCAAGGGGACATACAACATACAAGGTGGGGACAGACCACATTTTCACTTGTACATACGGCACTTAATGGGTTAAGATTGATACATATTTAACCAGTATGGCTACGATGTTTAATATTTACACATCATGGCACTTTACTTTTCACATATACTGTACGTATTAAGATAAGTTTGGTCTATGCCATATTTCCTTATGCCATACGGTTTTATCCATTCAGGTTACAGTTACTACTAAAAAACCTATACGGATTGTCAGGTTCAATACCATACTACCAGGTACATACACCTGCTCACATAGTTATCCATCTCTTACCTTCCCTGGAATAGTAATAGTGTACTGGCAATTAGGGTTCTAGGGCCCAATAGGTATTACCCCCTTTTTTCTCTGCATTATGCTTCGGTTAGTGGTCCCGCGAGGCCAACACCCTGCCTCACACTCGGTGGCATACACCCCTCGGGCCACTCGTGAGCTAGCCGCCTTGCATTGTATCATAGAGAGGGCCTCACCTGTCACTCCCCTTCCTATTTCCTGGTTACTGTCACCGAGAGGCCAACATCCTGCCACAATGTTCGGTGGCCACACAAAATCCCCTCGCGCCAAGCATAGATAGAGCCTCTCAAGCCACTTGGCAACTAGCAGGGCCTCACCAGTCACCAAAAAACACCAAGCCTAATCATTTTGCCTTACCGCTTAGCTAGCAAGCCAGTACAAGAACCCTGGGTACAAATAATTGCATCTTTATTGTTATTTAAGTATTTTTCCAAAAGATGGTGAAGAATCACCTCTTCCTAGCACCCCGGCTAGAATTGATACACCTTCAAGCAGAAGAGATGTTGCTAGTCCTGCAGCAATCAGATCCTGGACGATCCCACACATTACCACCGACCTAAGGAGGTGACAAATCCCCTACCCTGCTACAGCAAGGAAAGCAGAGTTATTCAAACTCCTCCATACATCAACGACAACACGGAGGCAGGGGAAGGCCCAGCTACATCAACTCAGGTGACACCCAGGCTATGCTAGCCTCACTCATAAACTCATGAGCCAAAAAAATTTATGACAGACTGGCAATCTCGAGTTGGTCACCACAGCCCTCACAAGGCTGGGCCTCACGTTACTGTACAACCAGCACCAACCGAAACTCGGCTACCTGGTACAATCAATTCTTATGACACACAAGATGTTAACCCTGCACGTATGATCCCAGCACATTGGGGAAGCAAGGCATATATATGTATGATGATGTATCTGTGATGGTCAGATTCAGGGATTCCAGGTAAATCAGGAACTGACCATCTCTTGGATGGGTTGGTATTTGGAATATGTAGAGATGTTTATTTGTGCAGGTACCCATACAGAAGGGGTTCTGTCCCAAACAAATGGACGAGCACTCTCAGGCTCCAGGTACCAGCACCTCTGAACTACCAGAGACGATTGATAGGAGTAGTTGCATTGCATATAGACTGTTGCATATATGTTCAAATGGTTCAGGGCACATGACAAACCATGTGGCCCAATACAACTTACAAATAACGTACTCACCATCTGTACACACCAATGCATTTTCAACACTACTGACTCATCACCCTTCCAGACTTGTAGTAGATTTACTAAAGCTCTGGAGCTTCAAAGGGCTCCCATACAGGTATCATAAACACACCTTCAAGGAATATAGCATGCCCTCACTTACAGTCAGCACAACAAAACGATTGGCTGAAAACACACTCATAGCCAAGATTTGCAGAGTGGTCTTCCAATCTCCACCATTTACAGCATGGCACCAAACACACACATTGGTATTGTCACAAGGAATCTTCCCTTAAACAAAGACTAACCATAGACTTATTGGCACCACACACCTCCGCTACCTCAAGTCTCAACTCCCTTCTTACTATACACCATTGATCTACCTTTACAGCTATCACTCAAGCATGGGTTAAAGCTTGGTTAAGTAAGACCAATATCATCAACGCAGTAAACAGCTACCATCTACCCTACACACTGGCACTTACATGGCATAAATTGGGCAATCCTTTCCCTGCTCAACTTTTGAGCTACAGATTAACCTACTATCGATATTCGCAGATACTCTGTGCTGGTTATGATAACATATCCAGAGGCATTAGTCATACACTATCTAGAAGACTTCTTGTTGCTCAAATAAAGCATATTTTTCACTAGAAGCCTCATGGCAGCTTAGTCTGGTTGACCACTTGGGCGTCCCAGTACCCCATAAGAAACAGAAGGCGCAGACACTATAATCACATTACTGGGCATATGACTTGAGTCGGCATCCATACACGCAAGTTACCACAAGACAAATAGGGAACATTCTCAACTAAATCAATCACTACCTCCTGCTTTGTACTTACAACTACAAGGAACTACAATCCCTACCAGGTTCCTTAATTTTGCCATGCCAATCATACCACAAGACCACGCTTTCACATCCAGAGTACTTTCCCCTTTTTTCCACACTTCCAACATGACGATCAGAGGAGGTGCCTAGACACCTCAGCAACAGCAGACCTGCACATGGGGGGGGGGGATTTCTTGACCACTTGGCATGGTAAAAGCATGTTCCTTCCAGGATTGTCTGACACTTCTCCAATCAGATGGTCAGACGCAGCGTATACCACGGGTTTGGCAGCGATCTACCGGGAACAATTGCTTTGGGGCTGTTGGCCATGGGATCCAGGTTTGGAAATTTTTCCACCACTTCAGCCCCTTTGGGAGATCTACCCCATTGTAGCAGCTGCTGTGGCATGGGGTAAATCATGGTCAGGGTCATCAATCCGTTGTTACTCAGACAACTAAGCACATATCATATCATCAACAAACGCCACTACTCATCCATAAGTTCATGATGTTTCTGGGGAACTCACTTGGTTGGCCACTTATCACATTTCACTTTCATGTACCAGACGGGGGTATACATCCCTGCCGACAACTGTCTCATTTATATTCCAGGCATGTTCATCATACGCTTCCTACAGCCGCCCATACAGTCACGTCCACTCTTTCGTTCCAGAGACAAAATCATGGATTAGACATACTCATGCAGCATAGCATGCACTATCCCACCTAGCACTTTCGTCCCATACTTGTAGAACGCATAACACAGCTTTTCACCTGGCTTAAAGAATTTCATTGGAACACGACATAGCTCAACCTGTGTCACAAAATTTCTCCTAAGTTTTGCTTATTTTTGCCACCTTAAACTTAAACTATCTCATACACCATTAATTATATATTTTACAGGCATTCAACAACACATGATAACCTATAGCCAAAACTACCATAAACTTCATGCTATCATACCAGAAAAGAATATACTCAGAGGTTTTCAGGAATCCATTCCCCCACGTTCCTCTGAGATTACCAATAGCCATCCAACTGTTCATCCTTATCGGACCTATTAGATCTACAACCATTCAATTATACTACCAAGTCGGCCATTACCAGCCATGCACATTGCCTTTTATGCCTTTCTCAGGCCAGAGAATCCACTACCATCACCACCACTCAGACAGATCATTGTCTTCAACGATCCCACGTACGTAAACACATATATCATTACCTATTGGCTCTACCACATTCCGAAATGAGTCAACATGCACCAACAGTAGAGATAACATACTATCCTACCCACAACAAATGGTGCCCACTTTCGGTCCTAGATTCCTACCTTCAAAATCCTTTCAGGAATTAAATACTGTAATGCATTTAAGGAAATGTCTGGTTAATTTGTATATATTTGTTGACTGTATTAAATCTTTGATTATTCATTTTGCCCTCTTTATTTACAGGCCTACCGTATCGTCGGTATCGGCACACCACAACCGACTTGCTCCCTTTACACTATCCTAAGCTTATGCTGGATCCTTACTCCATATACGGCTATTTTGCCCCTTACATAAATATATATAGAAAGAAAGAAAGAAAGAAAGAAAGAAATGCACTCTCAGGACTTTTTAGGTGAATATAAAAGGATTTATTACAATAAGTGATACATCAAAAAAATGACCGACGTGTCGACCCGTTCAGGTTTTCCTCAAGATCCTTTTATATTCACCTAAAAAGTCCTGAGAGTGCATCTCTTGCTTTATTTTTCTATATATCTACAACGTGGGATTGCACCCAGGCATAAATTAACTTCATTTGGAGAAAGGGTGAGTGCCAAGATACCTTCATTTTCCGGGCACTCATTCCGCATAGGAGCCGCTTCGCCAGCCTCTAGCACAAACAACCCAGTCCACATCATCGAGAGACTGGGTCGTTGGAAATCCTCCATATATCATACATATATACCGCGACCAGAAAAAGAGCTTCGTCAAGCTTTCAGGAACTTGGTTTTGTAAAAAAGGCAATAAAGTGTGTATTTTTTCAAACTTCTCTTTTGCCCTCTTTTATTTACAGGCCCACTCGTACGTTGGTTTTGGCACACCACAACCAACTTTGCCCTTTCAGATACTATCCATTACGTATTAAATTCCGAGCACAAATATATATAAGTATTTTTGATTTAATTTAAAAACTGTTTAATAACTTTTTAATAACCTTTTTTACAGGCATGAGGGGGACTGCCTGATAGTTCAGACAGGCTCCCTGCAGGCACTGCATAAGCCGGCTATTGTGATCATGAGGACCCGGCTTTTGCATGGCCGGGGGGGACCAGATTGGGCAGAGGGGGTCTGCCTGAGCTCCCAGGCAGACCCCAGGATCACAACCGCCGGTGTGGGATCGTCGGGGATCCGGTAAGTTCCCTGGACGGCAGGGACGTCCTATGCCGCCCGCTGGCATTTAGGACCACCCAAAAAGGATGGCATAGAACGCCCGCTGTCCCTAATGGGTTTGTAACGGCACCCCCAGGCATAAAACGGGTTAACAGCCGTTTAGGAGATATTCCCTTCCAGATATACAGGCAGCTACTGTAGACACGAATCCACCGAACCGGAGAAGCATATGAATGTCGAAAACAGCTGAACCGGAACCATACGAATGCTGTAAACAGCCGAATAGGAAAAAACATACGAATAGGTTTACACTCCTAGCAGTCAAACTGGAACAGCATACAATAAATCCCCCCAAGAACGAGACAAGGCTCCGTTTTGAGGGTCAAGCAGGAACAGACAGAGTTGTGGGTTTATTATTATTATTATTATTATTATTATGATATTTATAGAGTGCCGTCAAATTCCGCAGCGCTTTACAATGGGTGGACTAACAGACATGTAGTTGTAACCAGACAAGTTGGACACACAGGAACAGAGGGGTTGAGGGCCCCGCTCAATGAGCTTACATGCTAGAGGGAGTGGGGTAAAATGACACAAAAAGGTAATGATAGTATTAGACTAATGACAGTTGCAGAAGAGGAATCAGTCAGGAGCTATTAACAGTTTAATTGATACGCTTTTATGAAGAAGTGAGTTTTTAACGATTTTTGAAGGAGGGGAGACTGGGTGAGCATCTAACGGAGGAGGGAAGCAAGTTCCACAGGAACGGTGCAGCCCTCGAGAAATCTTGAAGGCGAGCATCAGAGGTGGGAGTATGGACAGAAGATAGACGTAAGTCTTCAGCAGATCGTAATGGCCTAGACGGGACATACTTGTGTATAAGGGAGGATAGATAGGTGGGAGCAGTATTATGTAGAGATTTGAAAGTAAGAACCAGAATTTTAAATTGAGCTCTATATTTTATAGGAAGCCAATGTAGGGACTGACAGAAGGGTGAGGCATGGGAGGTGCGAGCGGACAGGAAGATGAGCCTCGCCGCCGCATTCATTATGGACTGTAACGGCGCTAGTTGGGAGCACGTAAGACCACTGAGAAGCGGATTACAGTAGTCAAGGCGAGAAAGGGCAGTGGAATTGACCAACACCTTAGTCGCATCTGGCGTTAAGTAGGGGCGGATGCGCGCAATGTTTTTGCGATCAAAATGACAGGATTTGGCGATAGATTGAACATGAGGCTTGAAGGAGGCCTCCAGAGAGCCTGTTCTACACCAGACCAGTGGAGCCAGACTGCAGTTAGAGCCCATCATCATCCTCATCTGGTTGTAAGCAATCTAGTATATTATTTGTGGCACTAATTTCTAATTTACCTCACATTAAAGAAACACTATAGTCCCCAGAACCACTGCAGCTTAATGTAGTGGTTCTGATGTTTATAGCCTGTCCCTGCAGGCCTTTTAATGTAAACACGGCGGCACTGCAGCACTGGCGTTAGATAACATGGCAAATCATATGGGTGGGGCATTGTGATGTCACATGGGGGGGTGGCAAACGTTACTTTTGCCTAGGGCAGCAAAAATCCTTGCACTGGCCCTGGCTGGAGGGGGCTGTGTGAGCTGTGGCCACACAGTGCCCCATGGTAGATATGGTGCCGTGCGGCCAGTACAGCTCACACAAGCAAACAGCTGATAAACTGTCCGCACGGAGGAAAAGGGGGGCGGAGCTAATCAAAATCGGAGGTGGGGCCAAACTGGCGCTGGGGGCGGGGCTTGGGGGCAAAGGGTTGCCAAGCACAGGACCCGCCCCGGGTGCCAAATGCTCTAGGTACGCTCCTGTTCCACATTATTCATAACTTTAAAAGTATGCATCACATTCACATAATGTTTTTCAGAATCAGCATACTCCAAATACAAATATATGTCAAAATCATACAAATTGGTCCAGTGGTGCAAAAGATAGATCGTAGTCCTTTGTGACCAAATGAAGCATGGCTTTTCTGCCCAAAACCAGTTGCACAGAGTCTTCTATACTGGAGATAATTGGGAAGTAATCCAATTATCTCCAAGGACAGAGGCAAAACTCCATTGAACACATGGCAGCAAAAGACAATAAAATACATAAAAATATATAACTGTGCAGCCATTGCATAAAACAGGTACATTCAACATATCCCCAGATAGCTCAGATCTGAGCACACATTATTACTGAATGGCGCTCAGATCACACACATACAGTTCAATTGCCTTGGAGCCAAAGTCTTTCATTATACGAATGGGCTCCATGGCATAGCTATCTTGGGTATCACCGCTCAAAGAGGGCAAGCACCGAATGACACTGCTTTCGTGTCTTTGCAGAGGAAAATCAAGCGTTTCAACATGGGGCCATAGTCCAGAGACAACAGGCGGGCAACCAGGCTTCTCCAATGCAATGTGGCGAGATTGGTCTCATCACAGGTTTAATTAGGGATTATTCTAGCTTGTAGTGAACGAATAATCTGAATTTTATTAAAGACAGGAGGCGAATATTTGCTTATCTTTCTTTACTGTAACTCCCAGCAGCAAAGAAATGGTTAACAATGTTGTATGGAAAAATCAACCAATCACAACATATCTCAACTACAATATAGTGTCATCAAACTCCTCCCACTTCCTATTTCTTGATGTTGCCAGTCAGTAGCAAGTCAACCATGTAAACTTTAACCGGAACAGTTCCCGAAGCTGAAACTCGAGATGAAGTCAACCATGTAAACGGAAAGTTGATCGAATAAACTTGAGATCTTCACACTAAAAGAAAAAAGAGACTTCGTGAAAGTAAGGTTTCTCGGACAAGAGAAAAAAATATATATATAGTTGAACCCCCCATTTCCAATTATAGTTCATACAAATTGACAGAATAATCGAAATCATAAAGATCTATCAGCACTCTATGAGATAGGTGTAGGACCACAAGATGAACAAATCGTATATAGCAGATTTGTATGTAAATAATGGTATCATACATTAATTAGTGATTATGAGACTTACCTCGAGGGTGGGTTCCGGAGTGAACGAAGGGAGGGAAAATATTCGCCTCCTGTTTTTAATAAAATTCAGATTATTCGTTCACTACAAGCTAGAATAATCCCTAATTTTATGGCAAGACAGGAGGCTTCATATTTGCTGTTTTAACGCTCTCGAATAATAGAACAAGCCGCATGTGTTTGTGTTGGTTTAAAATAAAAAGTCCGAAAGGTAGATTCCCTTGACCAATCTGCGCAGGACAAAATATCTGCTAATGAACTGCCGGCCCGAAAGGCAGAGGAAGCGGCCGCTCCCCTAACCGAATGGGCCCCAAATGAACTATCGATTCCCGCTTGGATAAGTAACCATCTTATCCAGCGAGCGATAGTGGGGGAAGAGACCGGTTTGTGAGGTCTGACATAAGAGATGAAAAGAGGACCGGTAGGAGAACGTAGGGCGGCAGTTGCCTCTGTGTAACAACGAGTACACAGAGCCACACAGAGAGCCGGCCTGTCGGGAAAGTATGGGTAAAAGACAGACGAGGAATTCGTCTTAGTGCGCCTAGTAATCGTAAATCGGACCCCTTCTGGTGTGAAGGAGACAGCGTGTGAATCAAAAGCGTGAACGTCAGAAACTCTGCGGAATGACACCAGGCACAGTAGCAGGGCCAATTTTGCAGAGAGCTGTCGAAGGGATAAGGCCTCGTTAGGAGGCCAGGACTCTAACAGTGCGAAGACCCGAGATATGTCCCAGAAGCCAGAGTATTTGGCAGAAGGTGGCCTCGTCAAACGAATGCCTCGTAAAAGTCTGCACACAGAAGGATGTTTCCCAACTAAGGAATTATCAATAGGGTCATGTCCCGCCGAAATGGCGGAACGAAAAACATTAATTGATCGGTATGATTTACCCTGATCGAAAAGGGATGATAGAAAATTTAGAATGGATGAGAGAGATGTTGAAACGGGATCAAAATCCCTCTCCAGACACCAGCTGACCCAAACTCGCCATGCGGCGAGATAGGTGCGCCTGGTTCCTGGTGCCCATGAATCCCATAGGAGTGTTTGAGCAGTGCTTGAAAGTCCTGCGACATGCCAAGCACCCCTGAAACTGTCCAGGCCACTAACTGAAGGTGGCCCTGTAGAGCTAGTGGATGGTAGTCGCCCGTTGAGTTCTTGAGAACCCGATGTGAGCGAGGTAGAATGATGGGGTAGTCTGTGGAAAGCTCCAGAAGAGTGGGGAACCACGTCTGGGCCCGCCATAGAGGGGTAACTATCACAATCTTGACCCCCTGTGATTTGACCTGGTGGAGAGTACGTTGAATCATGGAGAAGGGAGGGAAGGCATAGGCTCCGTCCCGTGGCCAATGTTGGAGAAAAGCGTAGCGCCCCAACCGAGTAGGCTGGCATCGGATTCCAGAATAAAATCTGGTTGAGATCCGAAAATCGCTTTCCCATTCCAGGCTTCCATATTGCGAAGCCACCAGTGAAGTTCGATGAGAACTTCGTCCGTTAGGGAAATGAATTGGTCGTAGGAGGTCGAGCGATGTAAATAGGAGGTTTTCAGCCGTTGCATTGCTCTGTAATGCAAGGGCCCTGGAAAAATAGCCTGAATTGATGCAGACAGAAGACCCAGCACGTGTGCTAGGTCGCGGAGTCGAGGTCGCTGTGACTTGAGTAATTTTTGAATCTCTCGTTTTATGTTTTTGATTTTGGAGTAGGGTAATTGTAGAGTTGCTTGAACTGAATCTATTTTAAAACCCAAAAATTGGACTATTTGAGAAGGTACCAGGTCTGATTTCTGGTAATTTATGACAAAACCTAGGTTTTGAAGGAGGGCAGAGGTCATGTGTGTGTGTTTGCGAAGTAGTTGCTGATCTTGTGCCATGATCAGGATATCGTCCAAATATATAATTGAACGTATGCCCTGAGAACGAAGGAGCGCCATGACTGGTTTCATCAACTTGGTGAAACACCATGGAGCAGAACAAAGTCCGAAGGGGAGGCAGGTGAACTGCCAAATGTCGCCTTGCCAACGGAATTGGAGGAAGGCACGGTGACTTGGTGCTACAGGGACCGTCAGATAAGCATCTTTGAGGTCGAATCTGGAGAACCAGTCTCCCATGCAGAGCAAGTCCCTGAGAAGATGGATACCTTCCATCTTGAAATGACGGTATGTGATAAAGCGATTCAACGCCTTGAGGTTGATAATGGGACGATGGTCCCCCGTTTTCTTCCGAACCAGAAATATATTGCTGAGGAAGGTGCAAGGGAAAGGCGAAGGTTCGATCGCCCCTTTGTGTAACAATTTTGTCAGTTCTGTGTTCAAGGTTAGAGTATCTGCTTTTGACATCCCTAAGGGTGTCGGGTGAGAATATTGAACTGGATGTGTGATAAAATCTATTTTGAAACCTGTGACTGTATGAAGGATCCAAAGATCCTGAGAAAGAAGTTTCCACTGTGGGAAAAAGAATGTTAATCGACCTGCGATTGATACAGTTTTTAAATGAGCAAGGTCCATTACCTGAAGCAGTGCGTCCGCGCAGGGATGCAGAGCCACGTCCTCGAATTGAGCCTCTGGTGTTGAACAGCTGCCTGTGGTAGGGTCGTGAGTATCCCGTGGACCAATACTCTGTGGGTCGGGGCCTGTAGCCTGAAAAGGCTGCTCTACTGGTAGCTCGGCCCCTTGAGCGACCAGCTCTCCCAGAAAAACGATTTTGAAAAGTGGGACGGAACACCCTACGTAGGGAGGACTGGGCTTTATTGAGTGTGGTAAAAACTGAGACATGCTTGGAGAGGTCTCGCATGAAACTGTTACCAAATAAAAGACCATCGGCCTCTGGGCCTAGTTCTTTAGTGCTCAAATCCTACAGTTTGGCATCGATTTTGTACAGTGCCGCTTTGCGTCTCTCAATTGAAATAGCCGTATTGGCGTTGCCCAAAAGGCAAAGGGCTCTCTGTGCCCATTCTCTTATAATGTGCGGATCAAGTTCACCGCTGGTGAGTGCCTCATCTGCTAGTATGAATATCTGTATGATAGGACCTGAAATGTCCAATAATTTGTCTTGGGTTGCTTTCAAACCCTGTTCAATACCCTTACGAGGGTCTTTACCAGATTTTGTTAAATAGGTGACCAGCATGGGGTCAAATTCAGGGGTAGAGGCAACTTTGCCTGGGATAGTTGGTCTCGGGCATTCAGCCCTTAGTTTGTTTCTGATTTCTTTTTCGAGAGGCTTGCGAAGCCACAGTTTACAGAAATTAGCAATATGATCTGGGGGAGCCCATTCTGCTGAGCGCGGGTGGCGTATCACCCTTGGGTCAAAAAGGGGAAGGCCTGAAGCATCCAGGAGGGTGTCTGAGTCAGGTACCTTACTCTTGTGATCTTGACTTAGGAAGGTTTCTTTCACAAACTCCGATGTTGAGGAATCCTGGGGCACATTCACCATGGGATCCTCATCAGAGTAATTAGGGTCATAGTCACTTAGAATATGGCCAGATAAACGTGAAGTAGAACCCTCTAGAGGGTCTGTAGCATCCTGCGAAACGTAAGGTTTAGATTGTTTAATGACCTTAGCAGGAGCTTTGCCCTTGCCCGCAGTAGCGCTATTCCCTTTCCAGGGTCTCTTGCGCGGGGCGTTATCTTGGTCGGAAATATGGGAGTCCTCAGAATCAGAGGGCTGTTGTGTAGAGGGGTGTACCTCTGGATTACGTTCATGGTAGGCTGCCAGAGCCTTAGGAATGGACTCTGCGATGTTGAGAAAAGCCATTCCTTAAGTTCAGCAGAAATCGCAGGGTCTTGGCGATCTGACATAATGACAATTTCAAGATAAATGTAAACCCTATTAGAGTATCAATTAAGGATGAGGCAACTCAATTAGAAAAAAAATATGAGGTGGGGGTCACCCACGAGACGTCAGAATCAATGGGGGGTCACCCACAAATGCTTGGCACAATAAATTAGCAAATGACAAATAATGGGGGTCACCCAATAATACAGATTGAGAGTACTAGAAATCTTGTGAATTTAGTGAGATGGGGTCACCACTATAAAATTACACTAGTAATATATATAATGTATATATAATGCACAGTAAGTAATGGGGGTCACCCACAGAAAATAAATCAGGTGGTGTTAGCCACATAAATATTTACACAGCAGTGTTTTCAGTAGGTGGTGTCAGCCACACAAATATTGTACATAATATGTACTTTAGATAAGTAAGTGGGGTTCACCCACATGAGGGAAATAAAATGGTCAAACAGCAAAATTTGGTCAAAACAAAAACCACACTGTAATTATACAATTTAAAGAAAGGGGTTCACCCAGATAGTAATAAAATGGTCCTGTGTTGGGCAAAGCCTGTTGGAGAAAAACAGATAGGAGATAGATAAGTAAAAGATCGTTTTTAATGAGCTTGTGAAAAAAAAAGGTGAAGATATAAGGTGGCAGCAAAACCTACCTTCCACAAACTATTAATAAGGTCTGTACCCACTAGGATGATTGTAAAATTTGTGCGCCGCAGTGGAGGAGCCGTTAGCCGTTACTACTAAGGTTTAAGATGGCCGCCGCGAGATCGCCGCCGTAGAAAGGGCGGGAAAAAGATTCGCGTCAAAGAGGAGACGCCTTTGGTAGGAGGGAGGAAGGTAACGGCGGGAAAAAGCAGCCGCGGACTCTGGGAAATGGAGTCCGCGGCTGAAGAGAGACAGAGAATGGGCCGCGGCTCTCCCTGAGAGAATAGAGCCGCGGCCAGCTGATTGAAAGCGGCAGGGTTTGAAAAAACCCTCCGTGCACTGGAACAAAAAAAGTAATCGGTTAGGACACCTAAATTTAAAGGAAAAGCAATGACAATAACAGAACAGTGAAATAAGGAAAAAATACAAAATATGTGTGAGGAAAAGAGGACAATATTTAAAGGGAAAGGTGATTAAATTAAAAAAAAAAATTTTTAAGCTGAATTCTGAGTATGCTGTAACAAGGTATAAATAAAAAATATTGAATTAACTTAAACCAGTAAGGCAATGTAATTGGAGCAGACTCACCTGGGAGGCAAGCAGCAAAGAAAGAGGAAGTGGGAGGAGTCTGATGACACTATATTGTAGTTGAGATATGTTGTGATTGGTTGATTTTTCCATACAACATTGTTAACCATTTCTTTGCTGCTGGGAGTTACAGTAAAGAAAGATAAGCAAATATGAAGCCTCCTGTCTTGCCATAAAATTGAAGGATAAAAGATCAGTCTGAGAACCATAACAAAGTTTATGGCACAGAGCATACGCTGCGCTGTGGGCTGCTTAGAACTTCAGCTGTTTGTGAAAATCGTTGCAGCTAAAAGCTAGTCCCAAGACCAAAAACATTAACGTAGGTTTGTGTCTGTGTCACATGTGCAAATATGAGAGCTTGCCTGAAAGATTGGCTCTTACAATTATTGCACACTCACCAAACTGTAAACCAAGCTGTATATAAACGGATAGCACCCACAGTTTATAAAGTTTACATATGATGAGTGGAGCTGGTCCTAGTGGATAAACTACGTATCCCACATACTCCTAATGGCAGGGCCGGCGCTACCATAAGGCGGCACAGGCGGACTGACCCGAGGGGCACAAAGATGTACGAGTGACCGGTGGGTGCACGGAGAACTCGCTGCAGCAATGCCCATGGTATTAATTTAACAAGCTTACTGGCTGTGTGATGAGGGAAAATCTCTTCATGTGACGTCATATTCCGGCGGCTAAGTCCTGTGGAGAGCGGAGGGAAGCTACTACAGTACTCTTTTTTTTAGCAAATATAAGAAACAGTAAGGGTGTGTGTATGAGCTGATGTGTGTAAAAGCAGTGTGTGAAAGAGTCAGTGCATGTGTGTGTGTGTGTGTGTTAGAACCAGTGTGTGTATAAGCAGTGTGTGTAAGAGGGTGTGTGTGTTTGTGTGTGTGTGT